CGGCTGTGTTAGGTGTAGCACGAGGGTGAAAGGAATTACTTTGAGTAGCTTAGCAGACATGCAAGGGGGCCATGTACCTTGAGAGATCTCATATACCTTGTATCAAGAGAGTCCTATAACCTATGGGGTCAGTAAAGCTTCCCCAAGATTTGCATCATCTCAGAATTTTCAGTTGCTTGGTGGCCTACACAACAGCAGTTCCCAGTCTTCGTAAGTAGAAAGAGGCAGCATCTGAGAAGGATGCCTCAAGGAAAGGGTGAATGACTGGCAATGTTTAGCAAACCTACAGCAGTTCGGGCTGAACAGGCTCAGACCTTAAGTTTAAACCAGGACAGATAATTCATGTTGGATACATTTGACTTTAAATCAAGTTTTGCCTTCAAGCGAGGAAGCATGAAATTGTCCTCATGTGTTCTGTTTCCAGAGGGTTTTGAAGCATGGTTCAGGGTAGAGAGCCTACTATATGAGTCATTGCAATGTATAGATGCAAAGTTTGCATTAGAAAAAAGGCATGGGGCAAAATTTTGTATTTCTTCATTTACAGAGATCTCATTTGTATTAATGTAACTCTTCGTTCCTGTTTTCAGAGGTTCAGGTCAGCTCTATTCTGAAAGAACATAAGGCACCTTTCACAGCCTGACTCCCTGCAGTTTTCTGTCTTGCAGACTGACTCTGGTGTCTCATAAGGCACAAACACCAATTAAAACCCTTATCACAGCTGGTGCATTCAAAATCTCTCTCATCTATGTGGATTCTTGAGCATCTAATAAAGAAAGTGGTCACACTACAGCCTTTCCCTCGGGAGCGCTGATTTACACGCCGCTACTCTACCCTGCTGTCTATGTTCAGGACATTTTAACTCTAAGTTAAAAGTAGCATGGCTGAACATCGAGTCTTACAAGTCCTCAGTCCAGTTTCTGGGTCAGTCATGCTGTATGTAATGCTGAAGTCACGCAATCCACCTCAAGTCCTTAACTTTAAAATGTGGATAACATTTTGCTATCTCGCAACATGTTGTAAGGATCATGAGAGCTACTCAGACTGTGAAGAGGGTCAAGTCAGTCTCTACACAGGTTTCAAACTTAGGCATATCATCAGTCTTCACTGAGAGGGAAGACTAAGTGTGTCATCTCTATCCTGAAGTGCATTATTCTGTCCTGGGAAGAACATGAATACCACATAAATAAAAAAAAATATTAACATTACCTTCTAATCAATGCCTACTAAAAAATTAGCCTTCACTATACAAATCTTCCAGCGATCCAGATTGCTACACAGAACTACCCACCTCTCAAACTGAAAAGTCTTGTTTATTGATGCATGACCAGGACGGCTACATTTTACGAGGACAGTTTCCTAAGAGAATAACAAAATACTTACAGTTAATATCATAGGAAGACACACACACAAAAAAAGAAATATTTATAATTTTTAGCATTCCAGGTGACAGCAGTAATTAAGGATCGTGAAGTCCAAGGCCCAGCAGTAATTAAGGATCGTGAAGTCCAAGAAGTGACTTCTCCAGCAGTCACCAGCATGTGAGGCTTTAGAGACTGTACACTGCAGTGAACTAGCAAGACAACAAGAAAGGATCTCAAAACACATTCAGATTATTAAAGAACAACCAACACAAAATATGTGCACTTAAGTTCACAAGAAAGATCCAAACCCTTACCTGAACTTCTTATGTGCCTAGAAAGCCACAGGCAAGTAAACCCAACCTCCCTAACTGCCACCACAGGTAGAAAAAAATGGCAAAAAGAGCCCTTTTTTATTATAGAGCCAGTTTTCACAGTGCCTTTTCAGATTGATTTCATAAATATTTGTGCCTAGAACTGAGCAGAAGATGCACATTTCATAGAAAAACATGCTAGTCCACAACTGTGAGAAAGAACTGCACTAGCACAATAGGTAGAATTCCACGAGTTTTTAGTGGAATCCACTTTCCAGATGGATTATATAGTAGTTTTGTAAGTCTGACAGATATGTAAGCAGCTCTAAACTAGAGTTTACTAATTACTAAACTAATTACTAGAGTGTAATCACAGCAGTCTGGCATGCCTTACATTGCAACTTCTGTGCCCTTCTGCTCCTCATGGCATATATTGCTTAATTGCAGAGAAAAGTAAAGAAAAAAAAAAGTGGGGGCTTACAACATTTGGGTGGAAGCTCACTAGCACGCAAAATACTTCATCTAATTCAGGGAAGTTTCCTAGCTTACTAACCTGCAGTTACATTACTGCATTTGATGGGAGTGCTGAAATTCCTACTGTGCTTCAGACAAGTGGCTTGGAATGCTGAACTAACGGCCTTCAAATGAGTATTGCCACAGAATGAAGTTGTAAAGAGCTGAGTAAATAATGATTGCCTAACAGTATGTCCAGCAAGCAAATGGCTAATAAAAATCAAATTTCTTGTCTTGAGTTTACAAGTATTTCCTCCTCTTTGGAGAAGGCCAATGCATCATTATCAACCTAATGATGACAACACCCACTCTACAGAATAAGCTATGTTAGCCATCCCAGTACTGGCAAATCTAGAAGCAGGACAGATGTGAGTACAACACTTTATACAAAAAGGCCTGACAAAGAAATTCTAATAGGATCAGTAACCAAAAGGCTCTGAGGGAAGGAAAAAAAAAAGAGGAAAAGGGTACAGAGTTATGGAACACACTTCTGATTGAGATATCAAATTTACTTGCAGACCAGCTTTCCCTAAGCTGAGAAATGGGACAGAAAAAACTCTATTTGCATGACATAGAAACAAAAGAACTGTTAATAGGCAGAAGTTTCATATGAGCATTGTTAATGACCTTCCTTTCTCAGGAGTTCATTATGGCCTACCATATCCACCACAGCTGCTGGCCTACAGAATTTCATCACGTTTTCCTGTCAATAGTGCTTGTGAAATCCATACAGCTCTCTCACATGAACACTGAAGAACCTTTTTTTCACCCGAGTCACAGAATACTCCCAGTCTGAGTTCTTTCAGGGCAATATGAATCATGAAAATGACAAAAGGATACTTCATAAATATTCACAATCTGTCCTGACACCCAAGCCTGACTCCCCAAGCCTGGGGAGCAGTTCAGTAAGTGAAATTCAGTAAGGCAGAGAAATAATTTTAAATAAGTTATATGGAATAGTGGATATAGACATGATCACAGAATCCAGCTGCGATAATTATAATTTCTTATCGCTTGTTACTGCACATCTGCTGAAGGCTATGCCCTCTTTCCCAAGACTACTGCTCCACAGCAGAGCCAATGTAAGGGAGACTGCGACTGCTCCTCATGTTTCACTGCCAACTTCAGTGCAACTAGCTGACATAGCACCGAGGCTGACACAGACAGCTTAAAGGATTCCCCACACTGGGTAAGCACCAGGGGAAGAAACCTCTAGCTGGGGATGGTGATAAGCAACTGGGCAATGATAATGCCTCCAACTGCTACAGCTACATCCATCTGATTTATTACAAAATTACCTCCCAAGAAAAGGAGGGTCTTGGCTGTGTTAATTCATGTTTTGCCAGTCCTATCTTAAGAAACAGCAGAATCTTGCACCTTCCCTGCTATTCAGAGCAGCCTCTTTGCCATCCCGTTTTTCTCAACTACTCACAAGTGAAAACCTTCTCAAAATTATTTGAAAGGAATTAATCATGTAGAGGCAGCCAGTTTCTTTTCTCTGTGACAAAGGAAGTTGGATTCAAACATCACTTCAGGTGTTAGGCCAGGGCAGGTGCCTCAGGTGCCTGTGTAGTCATGGAGAGAGACAAACATATTTAAAGTTTAATTCAGATCTTAGGTGAATGACTTTCCCTCTGGAGGTGGCTACTTTTCTTCAGCAACCACAAGGGGAGTCTGGAGTGATTAGGCACCTCATTTAAGTGTCTACATTTGGTGTTGTGAATCCAGCTGAAAACATAGCTACTCATTCAAACATGACACCTATATTCACTAGCACACACAGCACACCCTGCCAGAGATGGATGAAATTACAGAAAAACAGGAAGTGGGATCCTAGGCCAGAATCACAGAATGGTTGCGTCGGGAAGGGACTTACAGAGATTAGAATAGAATCATAGAATCATAGAATCATTGAGGTTGGAAAAGACCTCTAAGATCATCGAGTCCAACCGTCAACCCAACACCACCATGTCCTAAACCACGTCCCCAATTGCCTCATCTACTCGTCTTTTAAATACCTCCAGGGATGGGGACTCCACCACTTCCCTGGGCAGCCTGTTCCAATGTTTAACCACTCTTTCAGTGAAGAAATTTTTCCTTACATCCAATCTAAACCTCCCCTGGCACAACTTGAGGCCATTTCCTCTTGTCCTATTGCTAGTTACTTGGGAGAAGAGACCGACACCCACCTCGCTACAACCTCCTTTCAGGTAGTTGTAGAGAGTGATGAGGTCTCCCCTCAGCCTCCTTTTCTGCAGGCTAAACAACCCCAGTTCCCTCAGCCGCTCCTCATCAGACTTGTTCTCCAGACCCCTCACCAGCCTCGTTGCCCTTCTCTGGACACGCTCCAGCACCTCAACGTCCTTCTTGTAGTGAGGGGCCCAAAACTGAACACAGTATTCGAGGTGCGGCCTCACCAGGGCCGAGTACAGGGGCACAATCACTTCCCTGCTCCTGCTGGCCACACTATTTCTGATACAGGCCAGGATGCCATTGGCCTTCTTGGCCGCCTGGGCACACTGCCGGCTCATGTTCAGCCGGCTGTCGACCAACACCCCCAGGTCCTTCTCTGCTGGGCAGCTTTCCAGCCACTCTTCCCCAAGCCTGTAGCGCTGCATGGGGTTGTTGTGGCCGAAGCGCAGGACCCGGCACTTGGCCTTGTTGAACCTCATACAATTGGTCTGGGCCCATCGATCCAGCCTGTCCAGGTCCCTCTGCAGAGCCTTCCTACCCTCGAGCAGATCAACACTCCCACCCAACTTGGTGTCGTCTGCAAACTTACTGAGGGTGCACTCGATCCCCTCATCCAGATCATTGATAAAGATATTGAACAAGACCGGCCCCAGTACTGAGCCCTGGGGAACACCGCTCGTGACCGGCCGCCAACTGGATGTAACTCCATTCACCACAACTCTCTGGGCCCGGCCGTCCAGCCCGTTTTTGACCCAGCGCAGAGTACACCTGTCTAAGCCGTGAGCCGCCAGCTTCTCTAGCAGAATGCTGTGGGAGACAGTGTCAAAGGCCTTGCTGAAGTCCAGGTAGACCACATCCACAGCCTTTCCCTCATCCACTAGGCGGGTCACCTGGTCATAGAAGGAGATCAGGTTGGTCAAGCAGGCCCTGCCTCTCATGAATCCGTGCTGGCTGGGCCGGATCCCCTGGTTGTCCCGCTCATGCCTTGTGAGCGCCCTCAAGATGAACCGCTCCATAATCTTCCCTGGCACCGAGGTCAGGCTGACAGGCCTGTAGTTCCCCGGATCCTCCTTCCGTCCCTTCTTGTAGATGGGCGTCACATTGGCAAGCCTCCAGTCGTCCGGGACCTCCCCCGTTAACCAGGACTGCTGATAAATGATGGAGAGCGGCTTGGCGAGCACCTCCGCCAGCTCCCTCAGCACTCTCGGGTGGATCCCATCCGGCCCCATGGACTTGTGAGTGTCCAGGTGGCGTAGCAGGTCATTGACTGCTTCGTCTTGATTGTTGAGGCCAACCTCCTGCTCAGAGCAGGGTCAGCTACAGCAGGTTGCCCAGGACCATGTCCAGCCAGGTTTTGAGTATCTCCAAAGATGGAGACTCCACACCCTCTCTGGGCAATCTGTTCCTGTGTTTGATTACCCTCACAACTTCTCATGTTTAAGCTGAATTTCCTGTATTTCAATTTGCACCCATTCCTCCTTGTTCTGTCACCACCAAGAAGATTCTGAGCATTCAGTACTTCATCTACTCATTTTTCAGGTAGTGACAATACCAGCACTGCTCAATGTCCTAATCTACATGGAGTAGTTCAACCTGATGTGTAGTGCATACTCACTCTCCACCATTATTGCACAACAAGCTTCAGGAGAAAGGCTCAGACAGTTGTTACTGTTATGCTGAGGAGCTGGACATACGTGGGAAAGCAAAAAGAAAACTTCAAAAATCTTCAAGTAGCTCAAAAACTGAAATGAAATACTCTTCTGTACATCCAGTAAAATCCTAAGCCTTTTTTAGACTTAGAGTCAGAATAATGATTCTCTAGACAAGATGAGCAAGATTATAGAGAAGATAATGTGTCTTTTGAAGAATGATATGAATCTCTAAACGAACAAAAGAAAAAACACTTCAAAGACTAAATGGAATTCATGTAGTCTCAGTCTCACAAAAAGATACACAACCATTCTGTCCAAGTGTCAGTTCTGCCTATCTACAGACAGTTTGAAGGAAGTCTTAACACAGCTCCTGGCAGAAGAGAAGCAAAGCTGCTTTATGCTGCAATTTCTGTTGTGGTCTTTCACTACGAGACAGATGTTTTCCCTATTCTAGTTATAACATGACAAAGTTGTAGCATAGATGAGACAGATCAGCATATTACTAGAGCTCCAGTCCAATCCAGGAACAACGTCAAGCTGAAGCTTGTCCAGAAGATCCAACCATTGTTTCCGATATGTATGCTGGACTACGTTGACTGTGGTTCTCAAATGCAGCTCTGCTTTCTAATGCACATTAGCTCTAAAATTATCATGGCATAAAACTGCCTGGTTATGTTACACATATAAAGTATTTTCAGGGAAAAATCTGGAAAGACAGCCATGATCTAAAAAGCAAAACTAATAAACTCAGCACCTCTATCACAGACAGTCTTCCTTTACCTTGATCTAAAATTTCCTTTAAATCATAAATACTTGTCTGGAAAATGGTTAACTTGTTTCCAGGAATAGGAGCTTTGTGTTGCAACTAAAAGCTCAATAACAAATCAAGCCCCATAATTTTGTCTGAAAATTGCATATTTATCCTAGCCACAAGCCTAACACCTTCAGTTGTTAAAAGCAAAATAAGCGGTCAATAAACATTGTTTTCCTTTACTTTTGTTAGATTAGTCTAAATTGACTGCTTTTTGTAAAAAGTCAGTTGTACTTTTATCCTCCTTCATGAACTTGGATACTTTAAACAAAAATACTTTTTTTTTCTTAAAAAAAATTCATATTAAGAAACTAATACAAAGACTTAAGGTGTTTGATCAAAACTAGAAAGCATTTTAACCAAATAAATGTAAAGGCAAACCAGTAAAACATTTGTAATCAATGTTGCGTTTTCTAACAACAGGAAGTCAGTATCTTGCAAATTTCATTTTACAATCAAGTCCATGCATACATTTATTTTCCTGGAATATTTCATAAGGACTTGTAAACATGAGAACAGGTTAGCATATTGAAGGTTACCAGGTCACTGTTTCATACAAACTAAAACTTATAAATTGGCATAAGCAAGCAGACACTGCTTTGCCTGTAAATGTATAGATACTGTAATATATCAGATATCTCTATGAAATAATCCAAAAACTAAATATTATCTAATTTCATCTTCATGCAATAAAATTTGACAGGTCAGAAATTGTCCTGGCATTTCATAGTACGATAAATGGGTCATGGCATCCAGAATACTATATCTACCATTACAGATCCCTGTTTTTTATCTCCTGACATATTTACTCTTTCTTAGCTGACTCTTCATGTGCTCCATTAGTTTCCTAATTGTATCTCTCTCTCTCTCTAAGTATCCACTCTATGCAACTGAGATCTGCCTAATGAAGCTATAATTTGGGAGATTTAAATGCATAACATACTGCAGGTCACTTCAGCAGTATTTTAAGCACTATACTACAGAAGAGAATTTGGCTAATCACCATGTAAGTAACAGTGAGCAGCCAACTAAGAACTATGGCAGCTAAGAAAATTAAACCCCAATTTAATACTTTGACCTTAGCTCACACTACTGTGCCTTTTTAAATTTTATATCTTGGTAATGGCCTCAGTTAATGCTGGAATGTCATCTGGATTTGCAACCTCAATGCTCATTCTGCTTCCTCTGATGGATCTAAGCCAGGACACTTTAACATGCTTGATGCAGTACCAACGTCGGCTGTTGTGGTTCGCGAGATACCATATTTCTCTCCTAATGCATTAGTTGTGTTGCAATAATAAAATGAAAAAAGCCGGACATAATTTTAGAAATAGTTACAGTAAACACAAGTGGCTCAAAGGGACTGAGTGCAGGAAGCCTGCAGCAGTTTGACTACTGCAAACACACAACCTCCGGTTCATGGATGACTGCACCAGCAGAAGCTTCAAGCTATTGCTACTACAAAGAGTCAGGATGAAAACAGCACAAATCACCTGCTATTGCACCCATGGGTGATCAAAGCTGGGCACTGACTGAAAAGAAAGTACCTCATTTTTTAAAAAACCCATGGTTTACATGTCCCGCTTTTTTCTCCTTCCTAGTATCTGTGAATGTGCTTTTGAATTTCACCATCAAATACTCACATCATCAGCTGCATATGCCACTTTTTCTGAAAAGTTTCTTTGCCTGTAAGAAAAAAAAAAAGCCAATAGGGAAAAAAAAGGTACGTTTCAAACCATAAATGTTCCATTTAGCTCAGGAACGTCAATGCTCAAAATGTCTGTGAACTACAGATTGTCTGAAGAGTACCTTTCAGAATTGCCATTATTATTGTACCCCATGTACATACTAACACCACAGTTAATTGTTAATAAAAAACAAATTAAAGAGCAATCAAGCAAAATAATCTGCTTACAAAAAGAAATTTAGAACAAACCCAATTAAGACTAATTCCCATGCAAACCATTCTATTATTTTGAGATTGTAACGTGAGCTTGTAACAAGAGGTTTTCACTTCAGAACATTAAAGTGAAAAACACGCTCTTTTTAGGTATTTGTCCCTGATCTTGCATCCATTACTAGTCCAAAAACTGACTGGGATTGCTGAGGTGTATAAATTCATTCATGTGTGTAAGTGTTTTGAGAATCAGTCCTTAGCATTACAACTAAGTTTTCTTTAAATTACTTTTTGATATATTAAGAAAAGTTAAGACTTAACGATTGTTTGTTTGGCCCTGTCCATCCTATTTTACACTGCAATTCAGTACGTGATTGCACTATTCCATACAGCAACAAAAACAGTGAGTGGGTTCATTCCCAGGTATATCAAGCACAGGTTAATGCAAGTTTCTCCCTTCAGGCTCCTTGAAATTTTGTCTGCTATTTTTCATGTTGTTTTAATTAAAACAATTCTATATTTTTTTAAAAATTTGCAGAAAATTAATAAACTTTAAAACACTGAATGTACTCTTTTAGAATTACCAGCCAGCAAAAGTAAAATAAAGCCCCAAATCAGTTATTTACTGATAGGGCAAATGATAATGTTACTGGTTTCTAGCCACCCACCTAGTTTTCCCCTTCTTTCTTTCTCTGTGTGTGTTTCAATCCCTACCTTCTTTCATGTTAGTCGTCTGTGGAGAATTCATAGCATTGTTATAGCACATACTTGCATCTAATCCCTCTTTTCCTTTTGGATCTTGGAATGTTTTGACACTTCAGTTACAGTAAGTGTATTATAAATTAGGGATGCAGAGCCAAATTATACTGAAATAGAATTACCAGTGTTTGTGCTGACAGCAAATCTGTTCTATAGCATTACAAAACAACTGTAATGCTGAGTGTGTTTCTCTGCCCATGACTTCTGACAGATACTACGTTACCGTATCCCAGAATTTGTATAGGATAGTGAATATACTCTAAACTGATTGCAGCTGTGTTACTTCTGCCAAGCCAGGGATAATCCTGGCTTGGCAGAACAGCTATGGCTTTCTCTTCAGGTGGACATACTTTTAGACAAGGGGATGAGATTGGCTAAAGCCAATTTAGCAGGAGAAAGAAAAGGAAACAGCAATTAGTTTTTATGATACCATCATCATCTCTCCACACACATAAAATCAGAAAAATCAAGAAGAGTTGTTCTCACATAAATATAACTATTGTTTTCTCTGTATATTAATTATGAGTCAGCTAAGATCTAACACAGCCAAATTAAATTACCTATCTTGTGATATCGAATGTCCAGCAGCAGTATCAAAAGGTAGTAATGGTCGGATCCTGCAGTGGACTCTGATATTTCCTCTCAGTTCCTAGGGTTAGAATATTAAGATGTATTTAACACAAACTACTGGAGAGGACAAATACACTGAAATTTGTGAAGCAGACATGAATGTGTTTAAGAAAGCAGGTGTTTACAACATCACAGCCTTAGACTCTGTGGAAGGAAAAATAGTATCAATATCATTTGCCTTGAGAAGTTAGGAGAAAGTACTTGAGGAAGCATGAGCTCTTCAGAGCTCTGGAACCCTGTAGCCCTCTCCAGTCTATATGGAAAAAAAAAAAAGGCCTTCAATCCGAGCCATTTTCCCCTCTTCAGTCTCCTTCCTCTTTACTTGAGCTTCTTCAAACACTTGTATTAACAGACAAGATTACACACTCCATTTCTCTTCCACCAGCCCTGAGGAAGATGTGGAATATAAAAAATTTTGTACCTTTTCCTCTCCGCTGTGTGTTCATACATGACTAAAAAGCCAGTAACTGAGTTTTCTCTGTGGGTTGTTTCAGAGTTCAGTTTATCTAACCTGGTTGTTTTCCTTCCTTTTTATTGGTGATCAGTTCTTCTCATTTTGTATTAGTGAAAACAGCTTGCCTGTGATGGCTAGTGACCACTGGCGTTAACTCTCCCCTGCCTTGGGGAACATCTTTTCAGTAAACTGCAACACAAGGCAGAGTTTGGAAGATAAGTACTTTTTAACAGAGCGCTTCATTTTTATAGGTAGAAAAACTTAAAAGAATTTTGTTTGAAGGTGGCTTGTGTTTCTAAAAATCAGGTCCTGAATCAGGCAACCCAAAACTAGTCATCTGGGGGGGTGGGCAGGAAGAGTAAAGTTAAAGTACAAAAAGGAAAAAAATTAATCCCAAGCCATCACTAATGGCTGAGCAGGATACAGCTAGATATATTTGGAAAAATAAAAGATGACCACTTTGCAATTTCAAGTTAATCATTTTAAGAATTCTAAAACAATTTCAGAAGCTGCATATTTAGAAAACAGGATGAAGAAACTCAAGTTTTGTTCACTATTGAAAATGGATGATACTCCTTAGTGCAGTATGCTCCAGGAGCACATTTGGAAGATGCTTGTGTAAAAAGAATGGGCTGGGGCTTATTGTAAGACAAACGTGCCTCAGCAAAGAAATGCATCGTATATAGACAGCTGGGGGAAGTGATATATCCATGAAAAGTATATTCATTAGTTTTATTGGTGAGGAAATTATGGGCATAATTACAACAACATAATAAAATGTTCTGTTATTAAAGATACTTACAACTAAGCTGTTATGTAGAGCTCTCCTCTTTTGCTTTTCTTTCTCATATCTCTCTGTCACCTCTAGTAAAGACTGCTCAAGATCAAAAGCTTTTATCTGAAACACTGGAAGAAGAAAGCTGTTTCAGAGAACTAAATTCTGTAACTTTACGAAATTAATTTTCCAGTAGCACCTCATGAAATATAAGCATAAACCTTTTTAACTTCTACCAAACTTAAATTAGGAGGGTTAGTTCCTAATTTACTAGACACCTCTGAAAAATCCCATCATACTTCTTGCTGTGAAATGGCTAGGCGAAGTTACAGATAATTACCACAGGTATACATGTGAAATCTCGAAAAACAATCAAAAAGACAAGATTTTAAAGGCAGTTCAAATGTGTCAGTTTAGTTAGAGTAGTGTTATCTGTCAGTGAAGCCTGAAACTTAAACTTGAACCAACCTGCTTCTGGATGGGGCTGTCACTTGCAAGGCTCGTGCCATATTTGCATATTATTAGATTCATGCCAGCTAACTTTACAAGAAGTTAACCTATCATTTATCCTCAGCCTCATTGACAGTGCTACTAATCCTGTAAAACAGCTATAAGGTTCCCCTTTAAGATAGGTGCACTCGCTTCATGGGTAGGATTTCATAAAAAAGATTGATCTTCTGAACCCCAGGGAGTCTCCTTCACAAAACTGAGGAGAGCAATATGGGTCATTATAAAAGCCTTCTAAGTTCACAAATGGCTTTATTTCAGCCCAATTACATTAACACTGAGCAGGCCTAAAACAAACATACAGCCCAGAAGGCACATAATGTGACTGTAAACTTGTGTACAAAGCATGCTTTTAGGAACCCCAGTGGGATATCAATCTCCCCAGGAATTAGCGAGCAGTTTGAAGATGTAGAGTGAGAGCTGAGTAGCAGGATGGCCACCAGCCTCAGTATGTGCTACCTTACAAAGAAAGGAACAGGCTTAAAATCTCAGCATGTCACACACATGATTTACACTCTCTGGTATAGACTAAAAATCAGATGACTTCAAGGGACATTTGTCTACACTAGAAATTTCTCAGATCTTAATTTTTGTAATACGCACGCTGTTCACCTCCAGCTCATAATGTTCCTCCACAAGTACACGCATGCAGGGGAAACATGATGTTAATAGTTGGGGAATCAAAGTCCAGGAGTTTCACTAAGAAAAATCCTTTACTTGCATTCTGTATGTGGAGTAACACTAGTATGTCTTGGTTTGGAGAATCATGTGCAAATATGTTGCAATAAATTGTCAGAAGTGACTCTTGCATTCACTGACCGCTAATCATACAGTATTTTTCAAAATACGAGGTTGGAATCCATTGATTATTTAAGTAATCTCCATAATAAGTATCTTAATTTATAAATTTGTGTACACACAAACTTTCAGTTCTTGAAGTCTCTTGAATAAGCGGTAAAGTTAAGCAATAGGTGCTAAGGGTACTCTTCCATTCTTCCAGTCTTGAAAAAAAAAAATTACTAGGTTTTTTCAATATTTAAGTGGTCTCTTCATGAGGACTGTGAGGAGCCTACTGGACAGTTTCAGTTAACTTAGGCCCTAATTACTCAATTTTCTTTTTCTAACTAGCCCTCCTATGGTGAAGATGACTGTGAAAACAGAGCTCAACCTTGGGGCTTCCTAATTTGACACCAGGGCTTTTGAGCAGACAGGTGAAGGACTGCGATCTGTAGAAAATGAGTCAAGTTGTTGCATTTAGCAGACGATATTTTGGTATTTGTAAGAGTCAACCATCAGTTTTAATGTCGATCTTCTGTAAAGCTTTATGTGCAGCACATAAACTTCTTGAATAGAAGCTCCACAGAGCAAGTTTCCTAATGCATAAATTATTTCTGAACTTGTAATTTTTCTGAAAGTGAAGCTATATAGTTATAAATATAAACACTTATTTAACATTTTGCTAGTTTTCTGTTTGGCATCAGCTGCAAGCTGAAGTCACATTTTCATCCACAACCTAGGGGCAGCCACTGGGTGCATCTGTTTTAAAATACTAATAACCCACTCTTCATTATTCAAGAGAAGTAGCCTGTAACGGCTGCAGGCATGTAGTGACATCCCTTTCCCTCATGCTTTGCCCATCTCATCGACCTATACAGAAACTTTCTGGGAGCAGGGAATGCTGATTTTTCTGTTTAAACGTCATTGAGCACAGTTAGGATCTTCATCGATAATCATACTAACAGTTGTAGAAGAGTGATGGCTTGCAAACACGTTCAGGACCGTAATGTTTCTTTAATTGACAGTCCTGCTTAAGGAGTTTTTCATTCCCCCCCATTCAGTGCTGCACCAGACCTTCTGCTGTGCTTGCACAACTGCTTCCACGGTCACGTGGAGGTCTAAAAGCAATCCTTCATGCTGAGTAATTTCTGTCCTGGATGAGCTCCCTGATCCGATTTGCGTGTGGTCACACAAACAGCTACACCAGCATAACGGAAAGGTCCACGACGGGGGCATGAACAACAGGAGCAGCATAACCTAGCACCGCCACAGCCTAGCACAGATATGGATGTGTAGCTGTCCCCATAGTTCCCTGGGGTTTTTAATGTTTTTTTCTATACTGGATTCCAGTTTAAAAAGGAGGTCATCTGACCATGCCTTCTAGGATAAGCAGCTATGATGTAATAGACTTAATTCCAGAATTTCTTTTGAATTCAGCTGTGTTTTATATCCTGGGCTATAACATTATTCTTTAGGCTGCTGCAATATTTCTGTTGCTGGATCCAAAGTCCCTCTCCTCCTCCCCTACTCTACGCTAGGAAGGAAAGGCTTTCCAAAGGCAGCTGAGCTGGTGAGACTCTGCTGTCGAGTTGAGGGTAAAAGATGATGGTAGTTCACATTCCACAAATACAAGTCATCAGCACAGTGCAGAGCTCAGCTTTCTCCAAGAGGAGCACCACACATAGGTGCCAGCATATGGGCTAAGTGGGAAATAAGCTCCTTACCCAATTTTTCCTCTTCTCCACCCCAGAGAGAAAGCGTCCTGGAACCACAAAGGATATCTAAGTCGCTGGGCTGCAGCAGCTTTCACAAAATATGTCAGCAACCTGCAGCAACTCCTCTGTCACATATTCACTTGGACAGATTTTGCTCCTTAGTGCCCGCCACTTTGCCAAGCAGTGAGAACAGTGGTTTCCCCTCTCTGAAAATATGTTCTGCATGCACAGATACTGTTTTTTCCTCTTTCTGATAATACCTGTGTGGTGAAGCAATCTAAAAAGTCATCTTAAGTTTTTAGAAATTCCTACCCTTCCAGAAGTCTGCTGAATTACTGCATCTGCCTCGGTAGTATCATTTGCAGTCAGGTGGCCAGTATTTTTTGCTAAAATGATAGCAGCTTTGTTTATGAGGGAAACAGGCCTATAACAAAAGAATGGGCACTTCTCTCTCTTAAGTATTACTACTATTTAAATTTCAGTGGGACAGATGGCAATAGCCTGGTTTTCAGGCTGTGAATAAATATTTCTAAGCAAGGGACTATTCAGTTATTACAGGAAAGTTTTATAGTTTGCTGCAGGTCAACTACAGCCTTGAAATTAACCTACTTGAACGTTTCTTCTATAATTCTCTCCCTCATTTTTAATCTCTGTTTTAGGATTAAACTGATAACATATATTGTCTCCAGAATACACACTTTGGGCTTTCTGTTTCCAAAAGATTATATGTAATTTAAGGATGGCAATTCTGACTGTCATATTTAACCTTAACAATAGAATCTCCATCTAAAACATCTGACAGAGAACTGAAAAATGGCCAAATTAAAAATGTAAGTCATCCGCATAAGTACCAACACACTATTTTGTTATAGGCAAGGGAGTTTCTCCCTGTTATGATTTCATAGAACCACAAAGTGCAAATTGAGAACAGTCAACAGGAATTTGCAAAGCCTCATGAGGAATACTTACTATTTATTTACACCACAACAGCTCAAGTGCCAAATCCAACCTCCTATCTGTTCATTTAGCCCCCTGCTTCAATAAGGGGAACATACACCTTTATCTAGGGTTAATTTTCCACTTTGTTTATTTCCATTTTAAAGACAACTTGATTAAGCATTTTATCTACATGGATAATATGGTAATCAAATCAATTTTAATCATAACTTAGTACATAACATACAGGGACAAGTTCTGCAAACACCCATCAGTGAGAATGGTGTTTATTGGTATCGGCATGAGTAGTCCCATCAGAACCAAATCAGTCCCAAAATTAAATATTTCAACCAAAAAGTAAAGCAGGAGAAAAAAGTACCTTTTAAATGGCAACACATGGATATCAGAGCATCACTCAGGGACTCTGATTATAAATTTTTTATTTGTTGTTAGTTCATCATGCTGCTAAGCTTCAAACAATTTAAGCTCCGTATGTGCCATGTGCTTCTCAGGCCTGGTAGGAGCTCCACCAGAATCAAGGATATTGAAAGCAGGTGCAGAGATCCATGCCAAGAGATCCAGGTGTAGGACCAATGCACTTAGTCCTCAGTGATGAGGGCAGAAAGTGCCATTGCACTGCAGGGTCTGCTTTATTTGTACACATGAACACGAAAGGACCTGAATTCCGAAACAGTAGTCTGCAGGGTGTTATCATCTACAGTCTAGCAAGTGGAACTGGTTTGGAAGTAAAATTTTCTCTGTAAATTCACAGAAATATTAAAAATCCAGTCTGTCCTAATTTCAGAAATCTCTGAAATCACCTGAGTCCTTTTCTGGTACAGTCAAAAGCAGACAAATTTCAGCTAAGGCAACACATTCTTTATTCAGCTATTCTAAAATAGTCAAGATAACAAGCCTGAGAACTTCAGATTAAAAATGTTACAGCTGAGCCAACTCAGCAGCAGTCTAGTAGCAGCTGCAATCAAACACAAAAGCTAAATCCAAATTATCAGTCATAACCTCTGCAGAGTTATTTGTACTCTAACACTTCAGAACTCCTTGATGATCTAAAGTCAAACAAAACCCAAGTGCTACAATTTCAGTGACACGTTTCTCAAAAATCAAACTCAACCTTTTAATGTTAGTAACATTTAACAATGACATTGTTGATGTTACATGTTTGAAATATAAGTGCAACAAGCCTTACTTTGCATTGCTTCATTTTGCAGCTGTATCTGTTGGACTGCTGTCAAAACTTGGTAAAGATAAGTCTTGCTTTGACGCTGAAAGTCTTTTGAAAGCTCAAGAGCAAATGAATGGAGGCTCTTCAGGTCTTGCTTAAGCCTCTTCTCAGCAAGAAGAAAAAATACGTTATAAAGACACAGAAACAGCGGTTAAGGAAGAATCACTATAACACCACCACAAATAATTATGGTGAGATATCACAGTCAGAAAGAACCCTCTGCCTGATGAAAGGAAGTCTTCAGGAGTATGTCTTTCAGCATGTTTAGAGAAGGATCCTGCAAGATATTTAGCAATGTCCTTTCCTAAAGACTTCAGCAAGACTTTATGGATCCTTACCATCTTATGGTACATACTTGGACCGTAACACAGCTTCAGGTATAACAAAGTCTCTTTCTTATTTCATCAAACAAAAATAAGTGTATGTGAGCATGTGTGTGTTCTGTCCACTTATAAGACATATCCAGAATTAGCAATGAAAAATTGTGATCCATATATCCCTTACTGCATTCATTTTCCACACTTTGATCAGGAGGTATTTGCCAAGCTTCACTCTAAGTCATTTCTTAAATAAGCCAGTTCTATGCCTTCCTATGAGAATAGATGTATTTTGAAAAGATCAGAAACCTTTATTGTTCAGAAAAGTATTTGTATTATGGATATAACTCAGCATAACTTACATGATGAGACTTAAATGTTTATAAGAGCAGTTTATATTCACTTAAAAGTCCAAATAAAGTAAAAACAAATTGACCTGATTTTAGGATTAGTAGACTTCTTGACACCTAAGTCTTGGAACGAACATGTAAAGGCATCTGTAAGATGAACTTAACAATACCTTATCTCACAGAGGCACTGTGATGTTTCATTAGTCAGCCTGGTACAAAGTGTCACATATTCTGTGACATTTTATTTTTCCAACTGTGGTACTGACCTTGAATTAATGGATTAGTTTCAATGAGAAAACAGTAATCTAAACTGAAGGGAGAAAATCACTGCATTTCTCACTCTCAAAAGCCACAGAATATAACTGGGAAGAATTTTTTTTTTTTTTTTTAATTACGGGTATAGCATTACCATTAATCTAGACTTTTATTTGGAGAGCTTTGCTCTCTCCTAACATTCATTGATCTCTGATAGTAAACCATCTCAATCCACTGGCATTGCATCACAAGCAGTTCTGCCATTCTAGCTAACCTAAAATGTAAAACACCACTGCAAAATTTACTGAGCAGAATCACTGTAATTAGAATAGAACAGAATAGTTCAGTTGGAAAGGACCTACAACGATCATCTAGTCCAGCTATGCTACAACTAAGCTACATCCTTCTGCCTGTTAAGAATCAGATTTCTTTCCTGAGATACTTTTCAGTCATTTTATGCAGGCATTCAGTGCTGCCCTGAGAAAAGCCGACATTTGTTAGCGTCCCTGAAAGGAACTCACCATTTTGTGGAGTAACTTAAGGAGTAAGTACTTCAACAAAGGAAAATATTATGGTACTGGTACTGGGAGAACAGTTCCAGTCTCTGTGATGCAAAAACTAAGACAACCTGAGTGAGCATACAGCAAACTACTCCCTCTTGTGAGGTCCACCAGAGCAGAACTCTTAGTGAAATCAGTGGAGCTCTCCAATGCTTTTTTAAAGGATCTGCCTATCTGGTTAAAATATATCACAATTATTGTTTTTCAGGGGATGTCTGTATGATAGTCAAGTCACAGATTGCAAGGTTCTGATTACAAAAATCTAGCAGAGGTATTGATAGCAGCCTATACATAAGATCCTGGAGCTCAAGAGCAGCCACTTCCACCAGCTTCTCGGGTGACTCTGTGGCCTTTTGCAGCAACACCACTATAAATTTTAAGCCAACTCAGGCATCGCTACCCTTCATTGCAAGCACTGCTGTGAACACAATAAAGCCATAGATCAGGTTCATATCTGACCATTTTCTGGGTTTTACTATATTTGATAATCATGTAAATGTTTAGGGCATAGATTATGCCTACATTATTACTAAATGTCTTTACCTTTATTGCTCCATGCAGCTGGGTTACAACAGAACTCCTCTGCAATTTCTGCTGCTGACCATGAGCAGAGTAGAGCTGCAATACTTCATTAGTGCTTCTTCCAGCCAACCCTTGATACTGTTTAAAAAAAAAAAAAAAATTCACCTAAACAATCACTTCAAAGCATTCATGTTTTCTGTTGCATTCTGTCCCCTTTGTCCCTGTAAACATTTGTAACTCAACTATCTGATTACATGTGGTGTTGTAAATACATAATTTCTTTGCTTTTACCTTTTTCTGAGTCACGTGAAGGATGACCTGGAGCTAACTGGCTAACATCACAATATTCTACTTCCTTGGGGTGGTAAACCTCAGCATCAGATTACAAAAACGCTTTTGCAGTACCTAAACCCCTTACTTATGCTTGAGGTGGATCTAAATGGTTAAAACTGTGCCTTCACTTAGGGAAAAGGGCTGGTTACGTTGCTGGTTTAAGTGTCTTCCGGCAACTACATTTAATGCGGAAAGCTCTCTGAAAGGACACGAAGCAGAACGAGGACACACATACCTGCGTTAACTGCTAAAGTCCTGAAGGAGACGGTAATACACAGCCCCCAACTTCGTGTTCGTCGCTCTAGCTTCCTGCCAACACCAACTCCATTACATTCAGGAGAGTTGCAATAGTGCAAAACTGTACCAATAAAGCACTAAGCTGGGTCTTCGGAGATCAAAGCAACCAAAGCAATTTTTAAAGGATGTGGAGAAGAATGCTTTCTAATAATCTAAAATCACCTATTATGCAAAAGCATTTTTTACGGCCAAATTTTTTTTTTTTTTTTTTTGAGATGTTGAAATCAAAAGGAAAATAGAAATAGTGCAACTTTAAATATTTACAGGCAAGAACACAAAAAAGAAATCTCTGTAGAGTACTTGTGAAATTCTGCAATATGACAGAATCTGTATTATATTAAACACTGCATTTTCATCATTTACTGGCAGTCCTGGTGTTTAAAATGAGCTGCAACTTCTTCACCTACTTTCCCCTGCAACCTGTTGACATCTATCATTCCTTAACCAGTACTAATAGCCTCTTTCCTTATTTTTGGAATGCACCTGTCTCTAGCACAGACTTGGTTCCTACTTTATTCGGGCCATAAATTCTGTGACTGCAGATCCCTGTTATTTAACTTAACAGAGCATAGAAGAGTAAAATGACATGAAAGAGCTAAATCTACGCACATAATGGGTTTGATTTAATTCCAATCATCTGAAAATGATAGGTAAAAAGTAAACATTTAATTGCAGTTTAACTTCAGATGACATCTGAGAAAACAATACAATGTCCTGGAGCTGTTAGAATAAAGGAGAATTATATTTTCCAAGAAAAGTACTTCACTTATCTAAACCAACCTTTTCATGTGTCTTTTTCACCTTCGCAAAACATGCATCTTCTAATTACAAATGCAACTGTAGGTCCTGCACAGCTATACACCACCTTAGCACTAACATAAAAAGTTCTTACGCAGAAAAGAAATAGCAGGAAGAGATTATTTTAAAAGAACTCTCATTTTTTATTCCAGGCTTTAAGCTCCCAGAAATTGAGACCGATTCTATACAGTGTTCATGTGTTCTTTTACTCCGAGGATCTTCAAGAGTCATGTTACTTAGATGCAATATTTACAAACATGCTTGACAAAAACGCATACAAGTAGCGCACCAGAATTAGTATCTCTAATCACATGTGAAAAATTAAGCATAGATGCAAGCAACTGCAGTACTCAAGCCTTATTGTTAAATAACCTTAAGCTAGTTAAACCTACTTTTAACATCTGATACGTTTTCCACCATCTGCAGATTCCCCCGACTCCCCCATTTTTCTCAACATGGACAATAAAAGAGGAACAGTCAATTCTACTTTCATTGCAGTCAACCTCTCATCACTTCCACTATCAAGTTCATCTTTATTGCAAAGGCTGCCTTGTTTTTGAGGCTTTCTCCATTAAAATACTTCTGGCATTCATCAGAATTTTTTGTACGCCAGAGCTTGCAAATTTGTGCTCATGCATGAGAAGCAAAAATTTACTATAAAACTTCTTATAGTCAGCTTTCTTATAAACAGAAGTGAAACTGAACTACTTAATGGTGTTCTCCAAAGTGAAATCTCAGCTCTGCAATCGGATCCATTCTGGCAGACTTGGCTTTATGTATGGAAGACAGCAGGATCAGGACCTCAAGGGCTGCGAACAAAAGCAAGGGGCTTTTGTGCAGGTAGACAAACACATTTCCAAAGAGGCAAAAGCAAGTCTACAGGGAAAGAATCTGACTTCTTATGTTCAATAGCAATGCTTACAATATGCTGCTAGGATAATAATATACCAGGCTGCAGAAAACAGTGGCAGTGCTGATATTCGTGACTGTCTTAAGGACATAAGCAAGGGAAGGTCTACAGCAAGAGGTAACATTTTTGTTAGACTGATGGAACCTATAGACAAACATTTACACTGCAAATCCTAATTTATGGCTATCCTCATAAGTTTGTCTCCAAATCTCCCTCACTCACTTCAGCCAAAACGAATCCAATTAGCTTTTACAAGTTAAGAATGAGACCTCTGTTAACCTTGGTCACTGTGACTGAACTTGTTACAGATCAATCATTCAGGCAGCTCCACCAGCAGATCTGAAGGGTCAGTGACTGATAGCTGAGGGCAGTACCTTTTTTCACCAGCATAGCTGGTGAAATATTGGGAGATATGGTGCAACATTGCACAACCTTAAATTCATCTAATTAAAATTAGTATTCTTTTTAATAGAGACTCTTCAATTAAGGTAAAACTATTTCATGTCAGTTTAGCTCACGTTTTCAGATTGTTGGGGCAAATTAACCAAGGAGAAGCGGAAGTCTTTTAAGTGTATTTAAATAACCGCCTGAATAGAAACATCGGTGCAAGGTTAATTGTAAAGTATTTCCACAAACCATTTGGCATTGTTTCTGACTGATGGTGGTAACACTGCCACGCTCCTCATGTGTCTGCAGGTGCTTGTATCTTCCAGCACGTTTTGCAATAAACTGAAACAGTGCTGTATTTGGAAAACAAGGCTTCATTATCTAATACTCAGATAACTACTTCCTACATCTGATGCACCTTACTGACTAAAATAATTTCTTTCTTGTGTTTGTGAGAGTAAAAAAAAAAAAAACAGCTGAAATACTTAATATATTTGGTAAATATTATAAAGCAGAACAAAAATAATAGAAACATTTTCTCAGAATCAATTACGGTATTCTTCTGTATACCTAGCAAAACTCATTTCAGATGTACCATCTGCTTCCAGTCAGGCTTTGAAAAATGTTAAACCTGCTTTTATCCACAGGTGTTAACAGACACACAGGGAGGGCAAATGGCTTTCCTGAGGTCACCCAACCATTTAATGTTTCAGCCCAGATTAGAAACTCTTGGCCAACGGTCTCTATCACAACTAATACTCACAGCTGGCTCTGGTCTAGCAGCATAGATGAATATTCAAAATTCTGTAAATCTCTAAAATCCTACCTTTGAACACCCCAAGCATCATCACAGGCTGCTCCTTGTTTCAATAATGGTCTAGGAACAACATAACCTTCCGTAGAAGGACATGAGGAAATGAGGGCATCCAGTTGTTGCTGTATGCTCTGCGACACTACCTTGCCTTTTCTAGACAAGTGTAACACGAGTGCTATGAAGACATGCAATAGGGCATCTTTGGCAAGTCTACTCATAATGAAATGTCTTTCCTGCACTCTGTGAATAATACTTTTTAAAGGATCATCCCAATTATGTCTAAAAAGTATTCCTTCAAAATCTACCCTCGTGTTTTAGGCAAATATTTTCCCTGCAAGCAGAAAGCAATATTCCGTATTTAATGCTTGTGGAGTCATTCCCTCAGTTCACTTTTGTAGATTTAAAATAATGGCAGTTATTTCAATGCATGTCAACTTCTAGTTACTTAATCAGTCTATTGTTATTGCTGGGTAAAAAAAAAAAAAAAAAAAAAAAAAACCCTGAGCCTTAATCCCTTCATAGATTTCCCCAACAGGTAAAGAGTGCAAAACTTGAAAATAGAAAGGCAGATTTCAATGTCTTTTTTTTCTATTTTTGTAAGAATTTGTTGGAAAAACAAACAATGGTTACCTCTGCAAGTTTTAGATGAAGAGCAGCATTTTCAGTTTCCAGGACAACTATTCTTTCTTCTTTGGTCTAAGAAAAAAACCCACCCAAAACCACAACAGTAAAAATGAAATAAGTACGAGTCTGATGAACGTTATTTCATTATAATAGTTTTATTACATTCCTGTTTCTCTGCCTTCCAAATTCAAAGCACTACCTACCCCCAATCTCCTCAGCACAGTGTTTGTCTACAAGCACATAAAAATTAGTATAGGCTCTTACTATTCCACGATTACCTGCATTTTCTGTCACTTTGCCTGCTTATGTGGAAATGCATACGTACAAAATTTTAAGTGCTTTTGCTTTATAAAACCATCTCCTGATGCTTCCCAGATCGTTAGAGAAGTGCTATTTAATTTATTTATAAGTAACCACATAAATTTCCATTTCCAAGGCTGCACTCTTAGAGATCCTCAGTGGTGTCGCAGCAAGAGTATTCCTCCGCACAGGTGCTGCCTTCCGAAACAGCTGGACGCCCATCCTGCCCAGCAGCAGGGCTGGGAAGGCTGATCACAGCTCCGAAACCCCATTCCCAACCCCGCCCCAGGCGGAGCGGCCTCTCCCCCGCATCAGGCTGCCGGCCGAGTCCCCGCAGGCTGCTGCATTTCGGATTCCCGCCTCAGTTTTAAG